AGGAGGTCATGCAACTCATAAGTATGTAATTGATCTTATGCATAAATTTACATCAACCGGGTCAGTTGGCAATAAAAAACATAACCGACTGGAACTCGTAAATAACGAAGCAATTGAAGTCGCAGTTTTAGGACAAGTAAGTTTTGAAAATCAACAAGCACAGTCACTGACAACAATAAGCAGAGAAGTAGGTGTTTCATCTTCCACAGTTTATCGAATATTACACAAGCATAAGTACCATCCATACAAAATTAAATTGGTTCAAGAGTTGTATGAAGATGATTTTGATCGTCGTCTTGAATTTTGTGAACTATTGAGTCAGCGCTTGACTGACAATCCACATTTGTTGCACAACCTTTGTTTTTCGGATGAATGCACATTTTCAGTTAATGGTTTAGTTAATAGACATAATTCCAGATATTGGGCTGAGAGTGATCCACATGTTGTGCGTGAATACCACACACAGAATCCTCAAAAGTTAAATGTATGGTGTGGTATCCTAGGTGACCACATAGTCGGACCTTTCTTTTTAGACGGAAACTTAAATGGAGAGTCATATCTTGAGTTATTGAGAGAAGTAATTGATCCACGTATTACAACAATAATAGAAAATGATCATAATCTTTCTGAAGATTTGCTTGTCTTTCAACAGGATGGAGCGCCTCCACATTTTGCTTTGCCAGTACGACAATTTTTAAATGAAACTTTCCCCAATCGTTGGATAGGTAGAAGAGGCTCGATGATGGAGTGGCCACCTAGATCACCGGATTTATCACCTCTAGACTTCTTTTTATGGGGTTATTTAAAAACAAAAATGTATGCTACCCAACCAGAATCTTTAGAAGATTTACGACAAAGAATAGAGTATGAATGCCTACATTTAAATGCACACGTGTTCGGTAATGTCAGGGAGGCTTTTCAATCTAGGTTATACCATTGTATGGAAGTAAATGGTGGACATTTTGAATAATAAATTTTGAAAATGAAATATTCGTTTTGTCATTGGAAACGCTTGTGACAAAATCATTAAAATAAAAGTTTTGCACAATTCAATTTTATTTTAATTTAAAATTCTGTAGATCGTAAACTAATTACTTTAATCCCCATGTTTTATACATTTTTGAAATCAGTTAAACGAGAGCAATCCAAAAATGGATAAAAAAATGGGGCAAGCCATTTAAAAAAATTGAAGGGATGATAGTAGGGGTGAAAGAGTGACTTTTTTAGCAAACTTAAAAATGGCACGATATCTCCCCCTTCGAATATTAATTGACGTATTTTTTTGTTTTTGTAATAATCAGTCCTTCAAAAGTTACTTAAGGTGTGGATACTTTTATCTGAAAAGCACTGTATGAAACCTTTATTCAGACACATTTAAAAGCAGTAAGACTTATAAGTAATTTTATCCTCCTTTATTAAATTTTTATTCTTTATTGGTATGGCGTGAAACAGGTTTTACAAAAAAAGTTATATTTATATATTTTCCAAAAACAAAATTGTCGTGAACTCTTTAGATTACTGCAGTGTCTAAATTTATAAAGGTTTCAGTTGATATGGCGTCTTGCAATATTCTTTAGTTATCAGTAGACCTAGGAATATATGCACCCAAAAAGTAGTTAAATATGCGCATATATATGCCGCAAAATACTTCAATATATGCGTAAAAAATTGAAAAATATGCAGAGCATATGAAATAAAAGTAATTTGTTATTTGATTGAAATAGTTTATTAATATTTATTATTTGTTTTATTTTACAATACCTAATATAATACTTAATAATTATTTAATTATTAACTGATTTTATTTACAAATCAACATTATTATAAAACGAATGAACAATTAAATGTTTTTCTAAATTATCTGTATTAAATGATTGTCTCCTATCAGTAAGTATGTACTTGTACAAAGAAAAACTCCTTTCGACATCTACAGAAGTAATAGGTGGAAACTTAAATTTTCCTGAAATATCTGGATGAATAGTATTAATATCTTCAAAGTTACCAGAATAAATATTAGCAAGGTTTCTTAAAACAATAAATCCTTCATTTTTTAATATTACATTTGAAAATTTATGAAAAATCGTCTTTCCAATATCGCTCTGGACATTTTTACACTCTGATTCAAACGTCTTAATTAAATTTACGGAAGTCACCAAAGGTAATTTTTTTTTTCTAAATCTAATATAATTTTGGGTACAAATGCATAATTTTTTAAAAACACTAATTACTTTGGTAATGTGATTTTGAAACAACTTCTTTGTATTAGATATTCCTTTAGATGAATCATCAAAATCAAATATGATTTCTTTAATTTTTTCATAATTATCTGCGTAAAAAAAGGCAGCTTTAAGCCAGGTACCCCACCGAGTAATCACAGGTTCCGGTGGCATCTGTAATTCAGGAAATTTTTCTTTGTACAACTGAGTTCTTAGAGGAGCTTTAAGAAATATTTTTTTTACATTACTAATTAAATCATTTATTAAAGGAAAGTTAGACCTAATTTCTTCTGCAACTCTGTTAAGGCCATGAGCCAAACATGTAACATGGATTAAGTTTTCATAAAACATTTTTAAATTTTGTGCGGCTTTTACTATGTGCGGGGCAGCATCGGATAACAGCAATAAACATTTTTCTGTTGGAACGGCTTCCGGAAGAAAAAAAAGACAATTCTGTCTGGATAAAACGAGTTATTGTTTTATCTAATTGCTTTGAAGCGATTAGATATGGACCAATTTGCATTTCTTCGCGTAATGAACCTATCATTTAATGAGCTATCCTATCGACCACAAGAGTGTGTTGTTTCATCCACAATAATGTAGAAATGGTTTCCAACGGTAATCTTACGAATTTTTTCACTAGTCTCAATGTATAAACTGTCAATACCACGTTTGCGTAATATACTTTGCTCTGGAATATTAAATTTGCAGTATTTTTGCAAAAATGATCGGATATTTGGATTATTTAATCGTATTAAAGGGATATTCGAAGTCACTAAAGCTTTGCACAAATCTTCAATTAAAATAGCTTGTTCACTTCTAGACGATCCAGATTCTAAATATTGTTTCAAGGGAAGTTAACTTTGTCTGCGATTATGTTTAGATTTCTGCTTTGCTATATGTGAGGGTGTTTCCGCGTGTTGGTCGATTTGAAACTCTTTTTACATGGAATCTAAAACAAATAAATTCCTGTAGATGTTAAGGTTTTAATTAAATTAAATAAATGCGTACGTTGTAAAGTTGCCCTACTTTTTTTTTAACTGTGAGTTGAAATAATATTTTATTGTCGTTTGATTTACCATTGTGAAAGGTCAAAATAAAATATAAAATAAAAAAGTACTTACAATTTTAGAATATGTTTTACAAAACACCTGGTTATCACCTTCTACAACAAAATCTGAATAAGATTTTACCCACGACTCATTTAATTTTGCCATTTTTTCCACTGGTTAACACAACACAACAATACAGACTGAAATGAAGTTGAAAGTAAACTGAGTCATTTAGAAATTTGAAGATATTAATACAACTACCTGAAAGGATATTTAGCAAAATTTGTTGGTTTAGGGAGGGTGTTTATAAATTAATCCTCTCAAGTACCTACACCATTAACCGTAATTTATTACAGGGAAAAGTTAATTCTTCAAAATTTTAGGAAATCGACCTGTAAAGGCATTTCACAAAATATTATTTTGGTCCAAAACTCATCATTTTAATATGTCCAGCCAATTAGTACGTCATATATATGCCAAAAAATTAACAAAATGTCAATATATGCATTCAAAATCAAAAATTGTATATATATGCAACATATGCAAAATACGGCGGTTTGCATATATTCCTAGCTCTAGTTATAAGACATGACAAAAAAGTAGGAAAATATATTACCTTATCGTTTAATCCAGATGCAAATTTTACGAGGTTCACTTTAATGTGAAAGTCCTGAAAGTCTATACTATTTTATGGCGATTTTTTCACACCCCCACCCTAAACATTCAATTGAACGTTAAAAATAAAAATAAATGTTTATGTAAGAAAGTAAAAATGTATTAATAAAAGGAACATTAGATTAAATTATTCTTACTAATAAGCAATAATTTTGTATCTAGTGTTTACAGACCATTATCACATTATTTCACCAAAAAATTTTCTTTTTCATTTTTGACCTTCATGTATTTTACATTTCAAATATGGCGAAGGTTTTAGTTGCACAAAAAGCATTTATAAAACAATTATGCTTTAAAAACAGCAAAAACAAAGCAATATGCCTAACTATTCCATAATTTACAAGAATTTATTGCCAATTGTCTATAAGGGTACTTTCAAATGTGGTATACCTAATCCTGTACTATTTAACATAATTTAATATAATTACCAGACTTAAAGAACTAATAGTTTCTATTACAGTCAAAATATTACTCTAGAGCAGTGGTTCTCAAACTTTTTAAACCTTTTTAAAAAGCGAAATATTTGACGGAGCCCTAAACACATTTCTAAAAAAAAAGTCCTTCGTGCAAAATCCTCCTTGCGCTTTAGCCTCTTGCCAGGACCAGGAGCGGCTCGTGGCCGAAATTTTGGGGGTTCACAGTAGCAGAATATAGATCCCGGTACAGATATAGGTAAAAAACTGTCAGTGTTTTAGAAAAGTATATTATAAACTTTCTAAAATACTAAAAGTTTTTTTCACACATCTGTACTGATACCTATATTCTGTCACTGTGAACACCCCCACGAGCCGTCACTGGCCAGGACCCTCCCGTTTCAAAATCATCTTCTTGTGGCCTCTAAAAAAATCATGATTCCTATACTTTCCTTATATCTGTATACAGATAGGAAAGTAAAAAAGGGCATCATACCAAAATACTCCTTCCTCTTCCTGAATTCTAATATATTTTGTCACTGTTGTAACTGTGACAAAATTATATCAGTGACAAAATCACTGTGACGTGATTTAATTTATTGAAATGATTTAGACTACTTGAAAAAACACGAAAATTTATTATAGCTACAAATAGTTATCAAGAACAATATTAAAATATAGTTAAAATTACTTTAACACATTAATTCTTAACCAAAAACACATAACATATTTTATTTTTTCTAACAGAACTACTTAATTTTTCAAATGCGTAGTTACAGCTTGTTCAGATATCAGCGTCAATCTATGCAAACTTTCAACTTCATCATTTGATGCATCCCTAATACTAATAGCATTTAAAATATTAGGACCAATCATTTTTCCTACACATCTAATCATTTTTCCTAAATGAAAATCTTCAATAGCGAGATGTGTAAGCATGTAATAAATAACTTGAAGTATAGGTCCAGTTCTGTCCCGTAACAGCATGATTTTTTGGGTGCGTACACTACCTTCCTGGAGAGAAACAACAGCAGCGATAACTTCAAAATAGCAGAATTGATTGGATAAAAGTTTGTTCCAGTGTATGACTCTTTCGACTGTCCCTGTAAGTATAAAGAGTTTTTCACCGGGACGAGAACCAAAGGGCTTAAAATCTCTATTGTTAGGGTCAGTTTTCGAAGTCGATACCTTGGCCACATTTTGAATATTTCGAGATGTTTGATTGCCATTCGGTTTACTTTCAATACTCTGACTACCGCTGGCACCGTTTTGAGCTGTTGAAAATTCAGTATGATTTCTTTTCTCATGAAAATTATTACTACCGCTGGCACCATTTTGAGCTGTTGAAAATTGAGGATGATTTCTTTTCTCATGAAAATTATTACTACCTCTGGCACCGGTTTGAGCTGTTGAATTTTCAATAGGAGTACGTCGTGTCTCATTATTCAATACCATGTGTTGTATAACGTTAATCTTTGATTTATTAAACATATTTCTTACACTATGTTGAAATTCCAGTATATTTTAGACTAAACGAATATCTTGGAAATACAGTGTTCGCGATCAATTATTATTAAATCGAATAAATATGTTTTTTAGAATAACTAAATTATAACTATTATGATAAATGATGGTTAACTTCAACAATGAAAAGAACGGTCAGATAATCAGAAACATCTGAATGTCACTGACATAACAGACTTGGCTTACTTATATTGGAAACATTTTTTAAATTGATTTATATACCTACAAGGCGTTACTCAAATAACTGTCATAACAAACAGTTGATACTAGTATTTTACTAGTATCTCTCTCGAAGAACGAAATAGTAAAGGAGACCGGAGTTATGTGTCATAAGGGGTAGGTTGGCATCAGTACTCTCAAATCCATACGGTTAATTTTTAAATATTTTGCGGTAAAGTACTAACATTGCTCTATATTTTAACTTATAATTTTTTTAATAATGCCTCATAAATAGTTACACAATGAGTTTGATTAGTGACTGACGTTATTATTTGCAGTAGGTATATATCTCTACATTACCAAATTCAAATTTTACTTCTGTTTATTTGACATTTACCGCCAGCTAAGCGTGTATGTGTATGTTGTGTTGCCTATTTACCTGCATATTGAAAACGTGGTAATCTATTATTAGTATTTCAGTTATCGTTTAAATATTAATGGAATGGGTTTGAATATTACATGTTTAATTAAAATATTCAGATTAGTCTAAAACCTGTTAGAAGGGAACATAGTATTTTTTGAGATACACACGTTCCAAACTATGCGAAACTGCCATGGAAACTGCCCAGCTGACAATAAAAACCGCTGACTAGGAGAAGACAGCCGAGGCTAATCGCCTTTTCTTTTATATTTTATAAGCTATTTTTCGAATTAATATATTTAATTTGCGTAAGCCAATTTTTTAATTCCTTCATTTTTCCAAAAAATAAGCAACATTTTTTTGTCTCCGATTTCAATTCAAATTTGTTTACATACAAAAGACAGAAGGGTAAACTACGGGGTGGACTCAGTTGCTTTTTATCTTTAATGGTTCAATTTTTTTTTTTTTTTCATTTCCCTTAGTTAATTATGGGCTTATTCTATAAATTCACACAAACATAGAGTCGGACAGATTCAATATAGTGCTCAACGTTTAGAATTTTTACGTATTTGACGCACATAATAGGTATTTTCCTTTGCATCGAAAGTGTAGCACTGAGCTACACCACTTCTGAAAATATCGTTCCATTTATACAAATTGTAAGGATGGAACAATATTTTCAGAAGTGACGTAGCTCAGTGCTACACTGTCGATGCAAAGGAAAAGACCTAATGAAATACTATTATTTTGTGGTTTGACGTTTTAAGTTATTGAAAGTAAGACGGTATCTTTGTGACAGTTTCTAACGTAATTTTTTTTATTCGTTAATAGAGAGTTGAAGTGTTTTCAATACGTTAACGTAAATGTGAACATAAACGCAGAAAAATAATGGTTACGTTGAAGTCCAAAATATTAGTTGAAGTTGACGCATCGTGACATTTACGTGCCATGACCAGGGCCGACTAGAGGGGGGGTAGCCGGGACAAGTTCCCGGGGCCCGGGCTTAAATGGGGGCCCGGGCTTAAATGGGGGCCCGGCAGCGCTGTAAGGGGGGCCCGGCAACAGGTTTTTTTTGTTCTGCATGAGAAATTCGACACAAGATGAAAGAGGGAAGTTAAGTTTAAATTAAAATTAAATACAAGTAGAGGAAAAGTTTTAGCCTAGAGAAGATTTTTTTCGAAAGAAGAAGTAATTAAAGTAGGGAGAATAGTTTTTTGATGTAAGGACCTTATTCTATTTCAGTTGAAGAGTAACAGTTTTTGGTTAAAGATTTTTTTGTCACGGGGCCCGATCTAGAGAATTGTCCTGGGGCCCGGCCTGGCTCTCGGCGGCCCTGGCCATGACAGATAATGACAATTAAATATTAGGATCACATACTTTGATTTTCTGTTACTATTCGCTCCGTGCGAAGTCATGGAAAGGGAAGCAAAAGCGATACTAGAGCTAGCTGCGGATAATTCGTGCATTTTAGGGCGATATTTTGTAATTCTGGCATATCAAATACACGTATACATTTTACTCTTTTCAAAAAAAGTAAGCAAGAACAATACAATAAGCAACCGGAGTTGCTGTATTAAAAATTGTACAAATACTAGCAAAAAAAACAGTGAAACTTATATAAAAAATTTCAGTAGCAAAGTGGAAATTAAATTAAAGAAACAAATGGATAAGTGTACAATAAGAAGAAAAATTACCTTTATTTTTGTAATAATAACAGTAATGCTGAAAATAGTAGACATCAGAATCTCGAAAGGTTTTATATAAACAATAAATTATCATTTTACAATGTTCTTTAATATCCCTTTAATTCTTAAATGTTCATTCAGCAAGGACTAGATTTCAAGATTTGTGCCTTTGATTATTATATGTGACACTGAAATGCAATTTTGTGACTTACTGATGGGAAACCAGTTTTAATCATTCATTCTATGTTTTCTTTCGAACAAAAATGAAAATATAAATAACCATCCTTTTTTTATACATTTTAACTTCACGCTATTATTAAATGGTATTTTTTTTAATTTTAACTGAATAGGCTAATTCTTCAATGACAACCACCGACCTTGATATTAAACTGGATGACTATATGACATAAACCCTACTCCTAATTTCTAAGCTGACATGGGTGGAAAAAACGATCGGTGCGCATGACAATTTGTGCGCCAGACTGTCAATTTTAAGCATTCTACGTCACGTTTTTCACGGGCGTACTATGATAAATTATATTATTTTTTATTAATAACTCCCTATTTTAATAATTATTATTATTTCAACATTTGTTTCAGCTGCGTATTAATCAAAAATAATTTTTAAGTGATTTTCTTAAATTAAAATGTGTCTAGTTGAATGTAATAAGTGTCAAATTTAATGTTGATAATCCTTTTTAGTACATTTCGATACGCACATGTTGGCGCCGAAGTGTCAAATATCACCTCGCTATGCGGCTTGATTTTGTTGATCGGCTTTGGTCTTCCAGTTTAATATAGTTCAGTGTGACAACTTATTAGACTTGGGCAACTTCTCATACATTTTCCAGTAAATACTGTTGCCTGCCTATATTTTATTATTGATTTTTATTGATTATACATAATTTTCTCTAATTTAAGCGATAAAAATATATAATAATAATAAATTAATGTATTACTTGTTTTACAAATCCATATACTTTTATTAAAACTAACATATATACTTTTTAATTACGAATTCTATTAAAAATTGTATTTGTCAGTATACGCAGAAATAATCCCTTAGTACCAAAACGAATTGGCGCTGCTGTCGCGCACGGAGCGAATACGGAGAATGGTCGCACTGCGCATCAGCTTTCTGAGTGCCTTTTAAAAGGAGATAGAAAACTCCGCCATTTTGAACCCTTATTACGTGTTGCCTACATCTTGGCGCAATATTTTTAATAGGTTCGTTTTAATCATCCGCTTCTGCTTCGGAATTGTCGGTTTTCTTGTTTTAATCTGACAGGTTAGAACGACTGAACCGACAATTCCGGAAGCAGAAGCGGATGATTAAAACGTACCTGATATTTTGCTTGCTGCTGTCAGTGTCAGTCACATAGAAAATCAAAGTATGTGGTGTCAGTGAATATTATTTTTGGAGTCACATTTTATTGCTAAAGAATCAGTTAGCTCACTCGGACCAGTTGAAAGTTCCAAAATAACATCCACTTTAGGGATACAAATTTAGGATACGCAGAAGACCGCTGTTTTATTATAGGCGGTTGTCATATATTGTATTATCCGAGTTGCGCAGGGTATAAAATGGAACAATGAGATCAAAAGTGCCGACGCAGAGTGAGCGATCTGATTCTTTAGCTGTAAACTGTGTCACAGGGTTCAAAATGGCCGCGCCCTATGTTGGGCGTGTCGGACCTCTCTCTTGCCTCGTATAGTAATCAAAGTATGTGGCTTACGTATTTATGTAGACGTGAACGTGACGAATATTTGAATACGCATGCGCAGATGTCAGTTTTTACGTACACGTTTATGTTCATAGAATCACTTCAACTCTCTAATGAAAATGAGTCGCGGTAAAGCAACTCCAAAAAAATTAAGGATTTTATCATAAACAAATATAAACATAAGTTTCTTAATAAATATCTGAAATAAAATTATGAAAAGGCCGAACATATAGTGGTTAGGGATCGTATACTTGATACATGTTATCTACTTACTCTAGAAATATATTTTTAAAAGTTTAAAGACAATTAATATATACGTTTTTTCTGTTATTTATTTTTTATTAAATATTATTTGCTGGACATAAAAACTAGTTTAAAGGTATGTAATTGGTTACTGAATGATTATATACTTGATGCATGTTAATTATTACTCTATAAATATATTTTTAAAAGTTTAAAGACAATTTATAATTTAGGTAGATAAACAAAATGAACAAAAAAATATTGTTAATGTCAGTGGAACCAAAATTCCGTCATTGCTAATTTAGCGTGTTATAAAAAAAAGGAAACAGTAACATTACCCGATACTTTTAATAATGTTCAATGTCCAGACACATTATAAATGGTAGATAAAACTTTTAAATTTATAGAACCTTTCTCAACCTCAACCTACCCTGACATTAGGACAGATTGTCACGTCCTTTGGGGTAGGTTTTTCTTTTATATTATCGCAGGATTATTTCTATAAAATAATGTTTCTACTATCACTATTCAAAGTAGACTTAAGTTTTCCGCGTTTGTCATAATTTGACATTGTTAGCGCTTGCAATAAATAAAACCAAGCTAATTCGATATTTTAAAACAAAATGTAGATTAATCTGATTATTTTAATTAAACATCTAATATTCAAACCCTTTTCCATTAATATTTAAACGATAACTGAAATATTAATAATAGATTACCACGTTTTCAATATGCAGGTAAATAGGCAACACAACATACATATACACGCTTGGCTGGCGGTAAATGTCAAATAAACAGAAGTAAAATTTGAATTTGGTAATGTAGAGATACCTATTGCAAATAATAACGTCAGTCACTAATCAAACTCATTGTGTACCTATTTATGATGCATTATTAAAAAAATTATAAGTTTTAACTTATATTTTAATATAGAGCAATGTTAGTACCTACTTTACCGCAAAATATTTAAAAATTAACCGTA